ATATCGGTTACAAGGACGCCCAATATTCCGCTGATGCAAACTATTTATAATCATACAAACTTAATCTCACACACAATGCTTGATTTTTGAACAGCGCAGCACTGTTAAGGCCTACCAAGAGAAATCAACGGAAAAAAGACGTGCAGAAAAGGGGGATTATTTTAAACTGAATTTATTTTAATTAAACTGTTTTATTATCACAGAACTTTTAAAATACTTATGGAAATAGCATAGTATAAACCACTCTGTACTGCATAAAGTTTGTTCCCATCGATGGACAGTCACGTGATGAATGCATAGTTAGTGTACTGAATGTAGGTCATTAACAAATTTCAATATCGCAAGGGCATACCCTATAGTTGAAATTAAAAATTCAAGCTATTAATTGTTTCTGCATACTTTGTAGTTTCTGAAAAGTGCTGCTAAATGGAATTCGCGTTTTGATAGTAAAATTGTCAGGTAAATAAGCAAATGTCGAAACATGTTTGACTTTTACCAAATATTTTGTTTACTTATAAAATCACGCCCTCGATTTAAAGAAAGCAGCAGCACTTTTCAGGTTAAGCAAACTATCCTTCATCTATATTCAAAAAAATGATTAAGATCTATTTAGTTTATGTCCATGCGAAAGTACGATTTTATGAGGCATCTCATTGTAAAATATACCTATACATAAAAACACGACATAATTAATAAAATAAATTCTCTTGATAGTTAATGAATAATAGCACTAAACAAAGGATATGCATTGGTATTAATCGACTATTTAAAACCTGTAAATAATTATCCGTTTAATAATAAAACGCATTTTTCATTGTAAAAGAAATTCATCAATCTACATCTCTTAGCTAATAAAATACGTCATTTTTACCAAAAAAGTTCATCGCGATCAGTGCTTTGTTTATAACCAACTACATAGGATTTAACTAACAAGTTTTTTCAATGCATTGATAAGTTTTATTGTTGTTTATTATGTTAATACGGTTAAAAGTTGCAAATTATTTCATTTTCAGGTAGTATGAGAAATAAGTACATAAAAGTCATAGTTTTTGTGACGTCACATTTTTCCCGTATAAATTAAACAATCGCCCCCTTTTTAAGCCTTAACGATGCTTTAGAATTGAAAATTGGAAAATTATTTTTTTGAATTTTTAAAGTATGTGGAATGTTTAAAATCAGAATTTTTATTTTCACTATAAATATTGCACTCGCCTCTAATTTTTAGATTTTCAATTTTACATAAAAAAGGGATCACTTCGGATAAAACTGAAAAGATTTTTTTGACGTCAAAAGCAGTAAACTTTTCCTGAATAAATTTCATGGACTAGTTCTCTTCAATTTAACAATGCTTCGTTAATTGAAAATAGGTAATTTATTTTCTGAAAATGACATTTTCAAAGTATGTGGAATGTAAGTACAGAATTTCTATTCCCTTCACTTGATAAATATTGCACTCGCCTCTAATTTTTAGATTTTCAATTTTTACATAAAAAAGGAATAACTTCGGATAAAACTGTATAAACCGAGGCCCCGTGTCAACCCCCCCCCCCCCCCAAAAAAAAAAAAAAAAGCAGTTAATTATTTATTTCCTGAATGCAGATTTCATGGACTAGTTCTCTAACAATTTAACTGCACTTTCTCATTGCATATTGATTTAAAAGTTGTTAATTTACCTAAAAATAATATCTGCTCTTACATCCCTCAATATTTTTTTTTACATTAGAATTTGTCAAAATACCAAACACATATTTTCTTTTCTTCAAAATTGCAGCTATTTTTTTAACAATACATTTTATGAAAATTTTATGTACAAACACAACAGCAAATATTTTTTGTACGAAAAGAAAATGGTATACTTTTTTTCAGTATTGGTTGCTTTAATAACACTACCTTATGACTGTTCGACATACGATATTAACAGGTAGGTACAAAATTTAAGACAAAATGCCAAAACATAATTTGTTACTTGTATAAAATTGAATATGTCAGTTTAAATCTATTTCATTCCGAGGAAAAAAAAATAATTCTGAGAGTATTGCACAAGCAATACATGTCACCTACCGGGATCCCCTTTTCTCATCAGAATGTCATTTTTAATGCCCTGTATAAGAAAGGAGCCCCCAGAATGTTGATATTTTAGTAATGAATGAAATGTCTTTGAATTAAGTAGATCAGCTGCCTTAAAATATGTTAAAAAAAACGGTGCGTTTTAACACCATTAGACATACATGCATGCTTTGATCAAAACATATCAATTTACATGTTTAAAAAAACTTAATAAAACAAATCAAACTTGAACCATGGTTTGATCCTCAGATAAAATAATTTGTGTCTCAGGGCAAGACTAAACCACAGTTAGAATGCCTCTCATTCACTGGCAAAGTAGCAAAAAATTGCAGAGGCAATTCGAAACCATTTTGAATAATGCAAAGACAAAAATTTAACATTACATAATAATTAACATATTAATAAAAAAAACATTTTTGAGACTGTGTATGCTCCTGATCTAAACAGCATGATGCTCATTAAGGCAAAATTCTACTCACTTTTGACTTTTTTCATACTGATTGTTTGGCCATTATTACACACTGAGTTGTAAATGGATTCTTTTACCGTCATAATGCGATCATGACAAGGAGCAAATTTATTTAAAGCTTGAGAATAGAAAAAAAGAAACAGTTCATTAACGTCTGTTAGCATATTAAATGTTAACTTTATATCTCCATTTGAATGACATTTTTCGTTTTATTTAGTACGTAAACTGTATAATTACAAATAACGGACCTCAAAATATCAGAAGTGGGACAGTTGCCATATATGTGTGAGCTCTCCCTTCCTACCAGTCACACCTGCCGCGAGGTCCTTGTCATGATCGGGAAATAAGGGAAAAAATCTGTAGAAAGCTCAGTGTGTAACATGGCCTGATAATCAGCATGCAAAGAGTCGGTCAGCATTTGACTTGATAAATTGTATTTGCTGACAAGGATATGATGTAATTATTCCCATTTATTAATTATATTGTAACATTTATGAATTGTGCCTTGTTTAAATTCGGATACATATTTTGTTTTACATGTTACATATGTATATAATATAATGAATATACCGTCCTGAATTGTGTTATTATTTCCAAATCCTGTTTGGAAATTTTGTTTTCAGTATTTTGAGTACATTCCAACATCTAATTCAATTTTTTTTGTATTCTAGCCTCTCATTGGTTGATTTTCATAAAGGAACGCAAATTATTTTTTTATAATCTTGTTTGGTATGGGGATACACACCCTGACGATCAGCTGAATCATCTTATCCATGCATTCCTCTCATTTCCAGTCCTCGGAATCCATGGAAAATACCAGATTTAATAAATGAACTTTTAACTTCAAACATTTATACTCGTTCTTACATTGTACCTCATGTAATCAAATATTATGGCTGTTAGATCTATGTATCAGTTATTACCTCCCCTCGCTTCAAATCACTTCCGTTATAATGGTTGTATCATTGCGCGGTAAATTTGAACAACTCATAAAAAGCAACAAAATTTTACACCCGAAATTGTTTAATTATTTTAAAATAAAATTAAAAGGAATGACTCTAATACATGTTCAAGAATAAGAGTCATTCCTTAAGTGTTCAATTTTTTATGAACTGTTCAAAAAATTATGAACAAGTTTTATTTATTAGATCGAAAGTTTACAATGTGCTTGTATTTTTTTTTACTTATTTTTGAACGCAGGTATGTTAAGGTTACAACCAAATATTCTACTTGCTCATATGACATGACGTCATAGTAAGCTATGTACCTACTATGTACATAGTAAGTAAATTTTTAAAATCGATATCTAAAATTGATTTGAGATTTTATAGTTTTAATTTATTTTTCATTTCTCATAAGATATTAATTTACTTATGCTTTAATAAAAAAGAAGAAAAAAGCTGTTTGCTCACCAAGATGGGTGTGCGTAAGACATGGAACCAAAACGTATTGAGTTTCCGGACATGAATAACAGTGCTTTAACAACCAGAGAAATCGAATTTAATTTTTAAGAAAAAGGCTTTAATAAATATTATTTTGAAAACATTAAGTGTTACAGTTTCAAATGATTCAATGGTTTTTTTGATCTTCAATTGTTTTTGAACGAACATCGGCATTATCACATTGCATAACAAAGACCCACAATATCAGCATGTTGCACGTCCTTTATTTGTCAGTATTCAAACATTTCAAATTAGATAATAATGATACCTGTGGTACTTGAATTTGATTCAATGATACTTTGATGTTACCACTCTGTCTTTAATCCACAAATGTATTTACTTCGTTTGACCACAATGAAATTTGAATTAAAATATGTAATCATGCATGGTTACGCGTATTTGTTTTATTTTGAACTTTTCCTGTGTATTTATTTTTGTCAATGTTCTATAAAATACTAAAATTACATATATTTGCGGCCAAGTTGATGATTTGTATCAATTCAACTTGTTTAATTGTGTTCTATAGTTGACAAAAAATCTCACAATAAACCATCTTTATTAAATCCATAAGAAAGTTTTACCTTCAGTTATCTTTTACTTTTCAGTGAAGTTTGTCTTAACAGGCCCTTAATGTTTTTAAGTAGTAGAAGCGCCTGTGGATTTACATTAGAGGATGCAAGAAAGCATCTTGAATCAGGTACTTTTGATATCCGAATTCATGACTTGCTCTGGTTTATGAAAAAAGTAAATTTGTTTCGTTATATTATTTTTCTTAATTACTGTTATCGAATTCCATACCGGCAAAATGATACATTAAAATTTCTATATAATTTGGAGAATTACTTCCCAATATGTGTATACAAAGCATACAAAGATAATAATTGGTCAAAAATATTTTTGGAGTAATTAGGAAATCAGTTATGTGGGTAGTTAAAACAATCAAAGAAATTTATTTATTGTCTTTTCTCCTTTATTATATAGATGAGCACAAGGACAATTGTGCTCAGAAATGTCGAGTAAAAATGTACCAACTCTACCCGGGATATGAGTATCAACTGTCATATGCAAGTCTAAGTTACAGTGGGTTAAATGTACATGTAAATATGGCTACTATCACCAGTACATGCAACTCGTACCTGTATATAACATCATACAAACATTTGGAAATTATTTGCAAATTGGACTTAGGAAGTAGTAAGTTCTTATAGTATTTTTCATATTGAGTACTTTTCATTTTTCAAATCTATAAAACAATTATATCTTTCAAAATAACACACCCTATAAGAGGTTAATATTGTGACCTTTAAAGACGTAATCAAATACGTAATCTATGCATTTATGTAATAATGTATCCAAAAAAGGGCGCAGTAAGTGCTATAACAGGAACAACTTTAAATTGTATATTTTATGTTGATATGAGATTGCAGCTGTCATAACCTTATAAAAGCCAAAAATAAAAATTGTGTGATAAAACATTTTATTTAAATACATGTATATGGAGATAACGAATAGTATTTAAGCCCAAAAGTTTATTAAACAATGCAAATTTTGGAGCAGCGCAAACACAGACCTACTAAACATCAGAGGTAGGACCAGACGCTACGGAGGAGCAAGCACTCCCTAGCAACCGGCCAGACTATAGTCCGCCACCTATCATGATCGGGAACATGCAAAAATCCACCGACAATTCATCGTGCAAACAATTTCCCAACAATAATTATGAAAAACTTCAGACAGCATGTGACTCTAATATGATAATTTGTATTTGATGAGAATATACTGTATTGACTAAATAAATTTCCCGAATGATGATGTTAAACGCGACTGTCGATATTTCTGTTTCATCAACATGTTTGTCAATAGCGTACCTCGTTTTAGAAATTGTTCATACACAGAAAAAGCCCTGTGAATGATTTAGAATGGTTTTATCTCATGAATTTAAGAAAGTTCTTTTTCTCGTTGGGTAGATCTCTCAAAACATTTGTGTACATCAACGAAGGATTGTAATGATGTGTCTAAGATGTGTTTTCGATCTTGGACAGAACAATTGGGCATATGTGTATGTAGACCTGAATATATAGGATTTGAAACCGAATGTTTAAAAGGTAAATGTTCATCAGACGCGCTTATATTACAAAAGTATTGAAGTATTACTTAAAAATCTAAATAAGCTATAAAGTTTTATATAAGAAATAACAATATTTGCATAACGACATGAGTTAAGTATCACATTTTTGTAGGAAATTTGAAATTGGGAGACCAATGCCAGCGAAAAGAGCAGTGTTCTGTGACATCTGTTTCTGTTTGTAAGAACAATACTTGTGTCTGTAGGCCAGGATATATCCAGTAGAGTGATTCAGAGTGCTTTCCATGTATGCTCATTTTAATATTTTTACATTGCAGCTAAGTCACTACATCATTCTATGCAGACCTTAAAACTAAATAAATCTCGGCAAATAAATACAAATGCTAAATAAATGCTCAAACACTGCTTTTCTCCTGAATAATGTAAACTTAATTTGATGTTTGACTAATTTTGCAATATTGACACTATTTGATGTAGAATGCACTGACTTGGATAGTGTCAAGAACTAGTTGACACACAGTTTCTGCATACGTGAGGCTCACGACCTAGTAGTTCAAGAAAATTGAAACAATTGATTACATATTCCAGGAAGTATACCTACCGATATTTTGCAGTCTAATTGAATTTTAAATGTAGTGACGTCATATAAAGCCGCCATAAGGCACGGTTTGACAGTAACGTACTATAATGACAAGCAAAGCTCCTCGAAGGTCTCAAAAATACTAAATGTCTTTTCATTATAACTAGAATTTAAAATTCTAAAATTATTCAATGCGTATTGAATCAATGCAGAAGTTTTTTTTCAAGAAATGGCTTGACTTTACATTTTTTCCAGACGTATGGAAGTTGCTCCAAACACTTATCGTGTTCATAAAAGATTTGTCCGAAGAAGATTACATTTGATTTTACAGGGCAAGGATACGGCAAATATCGTCGAACGTTTTATAATTTTCTGAAGTCATTGAAATTGTTTTAGCCCAGCTCAGTGGAGAACCGAGAATATTAATATGCAAAAATGTAGATTTCAATTTCATCAAAACTAATGCTGATTTAAAAAAAAATATCTATATCAATATTACATTAATATTCTTGGAATATTTTATTGTAGATTTTAGCCATGCTGAAATGCTAAATAATTAAATAATAATTCCTGTAATAAAGATTATTGTGTTAATGTATCGATTTGCCAATATGACATGGAATTATTTTATAATAGAGGGTTTTTTTTTAATTAACGTCAAAAATATTTTCCTTTTCAGTCCATCTCACAAAAGATATGTGTACATCGACTGATGACTGTCGAGATGTTTCTAAGACATGTTCGTCTACAGAACATGTCGGCGTTTGTGTATGCAAACATGGTTATATAGGATTCGGAAACAAATGTTTAAAAGGTTATAAGTTCATAGAAAGACATGTATTTTAATTATTAAAACAGATGGAACTTTCTTGATACTTTGGCCGAAAACTTATTCAAAGTTATTCACTAAAACACAAATTAAAACAAGTTATATATCATCACAGAAATTAAATGTGATTTTTTTTTTCTTGTTTTCAAGGCGGATTAAAGCGGAATGAAACGTGTCAACGAAATGAACAGTGTTCGGTGCCAGCTGGGTCTGTTTGTCAAAACGATACTTGTGTCTGTAAGTGTCGTTATGTCCAATTCCATAATTCCAAATGCTTTCTTTGTAGGTTCATATTCTTTTACTTGTATATCTCATTTTATAACATAATTAAAAGCAATTATGAATTCAATACTGCTCTCATAAAAATAATTCATAGGTTTACAGTTCTTTCTTTGGGCAATTATCTTTGTTTTTCTATTTTCTAAAAATATACTTGGCTAAAGGATACTTAACATAGAACCTACGTCGTATGACATCATAACTAGTGAATGTGGTGTTTAGCTTGTGCTAGATCCATTATGACGTCATAATTAATTCAATGTCATTTCCTGTACTTTAAAGCCTCAGTATAAAAATGTTAGAAAATACTGCATTTTGAAATTCACAGAATTCAATTTAAAATCATGCCAAAATAATCTTAATTCGATTTATATATTTTTAAATATAATGCTTAATGAATATATTTTTCTTGAATTAGAGAAACCTGTAGGCACCTTTCATTTAATAGATCTTGACCTTAATTAAGTTGACAAATCCAAGACTATCTTGTGTGATGAAATTGCCATGTATACAACTTACTGTAATAATGTAAATGGTATGTAACTATTTTGAAGGAATGCAAAAATCCTTAACAATATCTTGAAGAAATGTGTCTAAGTCAAGATGTACGTGTTGTAGATTGTGTGTACATTTTGTGATATTTATCATGAAATGATGTGCATTCCTTTTCATAATTATTTGTTACTTATTCATATTCAAGGAGTTTTATTAAAATTTCTCTATTAAATATGATCTTTTAAATTAAAAGTACATTTTTTATAAACATTTTTACTCTGAAAATAGCCCTAAATAGTCATTTAATGATACAATCCATGTAATTGCAAAAAGGTCAAGAATATAAGCATCGGTAAATAACCTGTCTCTCATTAGTTAGAGGGGAAAGGTATATATTTTAATCACTTTTTGTAATAATTTGGGTAAGTTCTTTATCATATTAAAGATTGAAAACACTGTGACAAAGACTTCTGCAAAATAGTTACAAATGTAGGATGGAAAATTGACTGAAAATAAATAGAGTTCATTTGCCTATAGTTTTGAAAATGTGGACTTATCTTTTATGTCAATTGAATAAAAAAGAATTTATTGTCGGGAAATATTGTTTAATACTGTTCAATTAATAAACAATAAAAACAACGATATTTAAAGAAGTAATTTTGGGATTTTTTTGTCTTCTTTGCATGACGAGTACCCCTAATATGACTGAAATTGTGAAGTCGCAATATGTATTTATCATTCCATGTTTAACTGGCTGCACTACATTTAATAACAAGGAAACCTGTCATGTGCTTTTAACTGATTGATAAGCAAGTGCTAATTTATCATTATGAAAAGTTTGAAAATCTTGTGACAAAGACTTCTCCGACATAGGTTCTACCTTAAGTATACATTTAATGAAAACTACAAATCGGGATGGGGGAAAGTTGCAAGGACCATCGTGAAAAATCGTGAAAATTAACTCTTTTTACGGCAGCAGTACAAAACGTGCCATGGCCAAGCATGGTTACTTGTAATTCATAATTGTTGATCCACGACGTTACACCTACATTACTAGGTAGGCATACATATAAGAAAGCATTCTTGAAGATGTTAAAGGAATTTTATAACAACAACTTATCTGCCAGACTTTTCTTTCTCCCAAAACGATTTGAAGGACTGAGGTGGGTAACATCCATTTTCAATTAGCAATTTATCGATACAGGCACCTTGATAACATAAGACATTTCTTTGACATATACACTGTACGAGTCTTTTTTCTTGCTTTTAACGACATTATCCCTCTTCATCATTCATTTTACAAGGGCAAGAATTTTCACTAATAAAAGTTTCAATAAATAAAATCTTGAAGCGAGGGATCGCGTCAAAACTGGAAGTGCTATTGATAAAGCATCTACTCGTAGATAAAGCTTCAGTTTATCTCATGGGTAGAATCCCACACACGTATGAGATAAAATCAATTTATTATATTGACTATTTATACATGTATATGTAGTCCCTATATAATATATACAAATGGAGACAGTTCATAACACTACATACGCGTGCAACGGAATTGTGACATCACAATTAAAACCACAAGCAACGTTGTAAACAATGGTTGCAATGGCCGCAACCATCCGTAGTATCTAAGCAGTAAAAATGTAGACAAAACTGTCGAAGGCTAGGATTATTTTTAAACATTTAAAAGTCTTAAACATTGCAAAACTCGGAAAGCAAAACAAAGTTATTACAAACTGGGGAAGTTTCAAGTATGCCAGTCCCCAGAATCACGATACTAAGCATGAGCAGTTATTCCCCTTGCCATTGCTATGCAGAATGTAAACAAACCGCCATTTTCCACTTGCTTCAACAAAACGCATTCAATCGAGTGATTAGGGTTAGGATATATATACAGCTGACTCTCGATCTCTCGAAGTTCAAGGGACTGCAAGAAAAGTTCCTTAAGAAATTAATTTCTTCTGAAATATTTGCCTTTCTGGAATAATATAGACTCAAATAAAAGTTTAAAATCTATGGGAACGTATTGAAACGAATGTCTATAAATTAAAAAATTTCGTCTTGGATTCAAGTCCAAAAATGTTTATTTGTTTTACATGTATGTAAAATTAAAACCTGCATGCCACCCCCAGGCATTCACTGTTTTCCAGGTAAGTCCAGGCTGCATCAATTTTACGCTTGATTGGCGTGTATACACGCGCAATCAAAACTTCGGGAGAGAGAGAGAGTGAAAATCAATAAAATGTGTGTGACTAGACCCAGGTCTTGGTTCAAGAGATAAAGAGTTTCGAGAGATAGAAGTTCGAGCCATCGAGAGACACCTGTAGTGTTTTTTTTTTAATTAGGGCTGTTTTATCTGAAATCTTTCTGACTTTGGGCCAATTCATGTAATTTTTGCTTACAAAAGGCACTGCTAAGTCGCACGAATCAGCCTAATGTTGAATCGTGCCGATCTCCATCACTTTGCTTTTGATAAAGTTTATGAAATTGTTGTTAACAAAGAACAAGAAACTTTTATGAATGAAAGTTCAGATGAATCAATCTAGGTCTAATGTCCAAACATGAACGATTTTGAGTAATAAGTTGAGGCAAGTTATTGTAGAAGCGACGAACCGTTTACAGCATCTCGATATTCTGACCTCATAATGTCCAAATTCAGAATATGTTTCCTTTCAAATCGATGATGATGCACAATTAAACAAGTAAGTATGTTATTTTACGAAATCTTTGAAATCTTTTTTTTAAAACTGTGTTTAAAAACCAGTTTTTAAATCCAATTTTTCACAAGGAACACGATTTGGTGTAAATTTTTAATTTATGCTTCTTTTTCGATTTTGTCGATCGATCACGCTATCGTCTATTTATTGCAAACCACCTTCGGCGGCACCTATTTTAGCGCCATATTTATAGGGACCGGCATACTAGAAGTATTCCGTCCAGATTAAAAGGTTTTTTTTTTATTTCAACGACGGAAGATCACAAAAGAAAATGGTGTCGTCATAGAGCCTTCAATGTCTTATTTATTCCATTACGAACTACATAATAAAACAATTCTGGATTCTTTTGGTGTTGAATATGGTTTGTTATTCACCAGAAAAATATCAATATTGTCTTCGGCTTCCCCTTAATATTTTTCTGGTGAATAACAAACCATATTCTAAACCAATAGATAGTTTATGACTGGCCAAAATTTAGTAAAAGTTACCTCACGTTGGCCGCAATATTGGAGGTCGACTCGGTGAATTTTCCTCTTCGTCTAACTAAGTTTAAGAGGATGTAGCAAAAATATTTGGTGGAAAATCTTTATTTAATATTTTTATCTAAATAAAGAAGCCTTCAAAAAATTATATACTTCATAAAAATAATGATTCCTAATCTAAAATAGCAAATATAAAAATTTTAATTTGGTTGTACAATGAAGGAATATTAGCATTTGGACCTCCAATATGGCGGCCAACGGGAAATAACTCTTGTTAAGTCGAAAACTATCTATAGAGTCCATAATTGTTAATTATTGAATCAATACTTAAAAAAAATAATAAAATAAATTTTTCAGTGCTCCCTGATGACAAACCTCAATCGTTTATCCTCGATCATAAAGGTATCCAACTTTTAAAACAGTATTATTCATACAGACTATTTTTGTTTATTTATGAAAAATTGGCAACAAAACAACATCTTCCATAGATACATGTATAAAACTTTCGATGATAAACTCGTTTTACATTTTATAAAGTATTATTTTTCATTTATTTAACTTTTTAAAGAATATTCTAAAACACATCTAATAGTTAACTTTTTGATATAAATTTCAGTAAATAACCTTGACGGCATGACATTTGGAATTCTTTTTGGTGGACTCGTTCTGTGCATAATGTTAACTGCTATAGCAGTAACCATCTATCATAATGCACGACAGAAGAAAACAAACACTGAGGAAGAGTATGAAACATTTTTAATAGTCTTTTGTTCTTTTTGAATTAGTTGTTCACCTCTATAACGAAATATTATTAAAGATTTGATAAATGAAATATTTATACATGTATACTGTAGGTTCCTGTATATACTCGTGGAATTAATTATCTCGTATTTTCGTGAGAAGCGTCACTGGAGAAATTAGATTTCTCGGCTTCAATTATTCATGGTGTTGATATTTATGCAAAATCTCTTGACCAGCGATCCGTTCGCATATTATTAATCGCTCGATTTAATGATAGAGAGTCATTCGCCATAATTAGTACCTGCAAGAAATATAAGGAATCTAGGGTTAGTAATACATGATATGCAAAAAAGTGTTATATGAACACTTATGCCTCTGTTTAATATATTTTATCAATATTTACTAACTACATGTATATTTTAAACTAAAATTGCTTTAGAGAAGGTCCAGCAATAACATTGTTTAAGAACACAATTTATGGGGCAAACACATGTACAGATGTTGTTTATAATGATCCGCCCATGCATTTGACCAGTGAGATTACTGAGGTAAGATACTTACATGTATCTTTTATTTCAAAACCATATTTGTTTATTTAAGATTTAACATGGTTTTTATACCGTAGCTAAGTAATTTTGAGAAAACATGAATGAAAATACACAACATGAAACACACCCTTTAAGCTTGGTTTAATGGTGGCTTATAGGTCCTTAATGGTGGTTTAATGGTTGTCTTTAAGTCACCATTAAGCGCCTTTAAGTAACATATACACCACCATTAAGTTACCATTAAGCCATCTAAAAGTCCTTAATGGGTGATTAAATGTAGCTTAATGGTGGCTTAATGGTGGCGTACAGGTCCTTAATGGTAACTTTTATACCACCATTAAGTCACCATTAAGCCACCATTAAGCTAGACTTACAGGTGCTTAATGTCCAAACTCCATTAAGCTACCATTAAGCTACCATTAAGCCACCATCAAGCCACCATTACGCAGTCGATATTACTGTTTTTATGGGAGAAAAATTATTATTATAGTGATTTGTCATCACAAATTATAAATGTCGAGTTCACACATATCTTGATTTGGTAAAAATAAGTAAAAAAACAAAATTAAAAAAAAAAAAAAAAAAAAAAAAAAAAAAAAAAAAAAAACACCAAACACGGGGCGCGAACTCATGACCCTTCGTGTATATGGCTGTCACCTTAACCATTGGGCTATTTCCACTCTTGATTGACCACGGAAAATATTAAACATATATTTTGCACAAAGTTTGTTTTGGACTTGTAAAAGTATTTATTTTGTTGAACGTCTCCAAAGTCTTGAATTGATCTATTAATCAAACTATAAACATTTTTATTTATGGATCTTTTTAAAAGGCTTATATCACAATAATATTTCTAAACCGTTGAGTCCGGCTTTTAAATTGTCGCTCTGTTATTTGAAGATTAATACGTGTTAGCATTAAATCAAGATTGAAATTAAATTAATTATAGATAAAACACACAAAAAATCTATTATTTGGAAAGACAGATGAATTTTTTTTAAATAATAAAATATTCTGCGGATATTAACGGATTTTGTGTCTAAGATTAAGGCCTAGTGATAATCCTCGTTTACGAGTTACCTGGTTATTGTTTACAAAAACTTTTTTTCGAATATCATATTCAGTTGAAATTCTTTTTGTATCATAATGGGTATCAAAAAAATTGTCATTTTACAATGAATCATAATTTTTAAATTATTATATGCTTGCATTAAATTTAAATTTTGTCAAAATGATTGATCATCAAAATCTGTTAGTGTACGTTGTGTATGTATAGTTTCCTGTTTGTTGACCGGGGACGGTGGACACCTAATTAAGGTCTATTGTTTAACCAGTCGGTACTGTACACTGTTAATCTTACCCCGTTTCCCAATGTGTATAAATCTGGTCGGATGTCATGTTTAATCTGATCGGCTGTTCTTCTGAAAATCGATTTTGAAATAACAATGATTGAAGACCGACTAGATTTTGACAGATACTTAACGCTGCATTATAAAAAAACAATAACGAATTAATTCAAATTATTCATGATGTAAAAGTCAAACTTTGAAAACTAAACATGTTTTAGTCAAACTTTGAAAACTATACATTTTTTTATACCTGTGGCGGCAGCCCGCCCCCCCCCCCTCAAAAAAAAAAAGACAGATTTTTTTTTAATGAGAACATGACTTTATATTCCTGGGAATTATGTAGCAGAATATCTTGGTTTTAACACATGAAATAAAAATACCATATCTTTTTTTTTTTAAAAAGTAAAGTAATCATATTTGGTGTTTATACATAAAGATGGTTTTAAGAACAGATTGATTTTCGGTAGTGAGAAATTATGATATTTCACAAGGGGTTGGCCCCGGCGTGTAATAATATAATTATTATTTTTTTTTAAACAAAAATCATATACACAAATAATAAAAAAAACTTTTGTAATAATTATTTATTTAAGAAAAAATCATATGCGGTAATAAGATAAAATTTCTTTTTTATTAATTGATACTGTAAATGATTAAAATAAAATATTAGAAACCGGGAGCAAGCCCCTGTTACATTGTAGCTAACTTTATTCTCGGTGCCCGAGATTTTGCATGTTGACAGAAATGTTATTTAAAAATTAAGATCAAGACAAAATTATAAATCACAAAAAAATAGATTTTGCGTAAATGACATTTATGCCTCCTATGAGAAATATCAGCCTGATAGTGCAGTGAAAAACAACCAAACACAGATATGCAGTTTGTCGATTATGTCATTTAATTCAATGACATAAAGTAAAATGTAAAACAAATCATTAAGGGGGATCACCTAATATTATTAGTTACACAGTCAGTTAGTGACCTAATACGGAGTCATACAGGGTGCGAAATGGAAATCCGTATTGGGCGAGGCGAAGCCGAGTCCCAATACGGATTTCCATTTCACACCCTGTATGAATCCGTATTAGGTCACTAACTGACTGTGTAACGAATTTATCCCGCTGAAGACCTTTTTCAATATTAAAAAAATATTTGGGCATATTATGAATCCGTATTAGGTCACTAACTGACTGTGTTACGAATTTATCCAGCTGAAGGCCCTTTTTGAATATAAAAAAAATATTTGCGCATATTATCAAAATATTAAGTTTAATCCAATAACAATCAACATATAAAATCGTTACGGTAACAAGAAATCTAACTAAACTACCTACGTAAACCGTTTCTTAGCCGCCATTTTTATTTACAATAACAACAGTAGTATAAACGGCCCCGCTAGGGGAAGATTCTGATTGGCTGAGAGAAATCACTTGATCAATTTTGATTGGTGGAGGGGATAGGTGGGTCAACTGAGTGCAGTCCTAACCCTAACCCCTCTAACCCTAGCCCTCTAACCCTAACCCTAGCCCTAACCCTAACCCCCTAACCCTAACTAACCCTAACCCTAACTAACCCTAACCTTAACCTAACCCTAACCCTAACCCCTAACCCTAACTAACCCTAACCCCCCTAGCCCTAACCCTAAGCCTAACCCTAACCCCCTAGCCCTAACCCTAACCCCCTAACCCTAACCCTAACTAACCCTAACCCCCTATCCCTATCCCTAACCCCTAACCCTAACCCCCTTAGCCCTCTAACCCTATCCCCTAACCTATCCCCTAAATACGGAGTTGTTTACACTGTGTTTACATTGGTACGTTGGTACTACGTTTTGTTTATGGACACAGGTAAATGCGCCGTGTGCAAAACATTACAAGAATGTGATTATGACGTCACGCTTCACAGTCTAGCTTCATTTTTTGAAAACCTCATTACCAAGAAACAAAAGTGAAACTAACACAGATTTTGATTTTTATTCAATTTTTATTCAGAATGAAAATATACATACGGATGCAATGAATATCATATACAAAATACTATTTTAGAGGAGAATTTTACAGTTAAGAATTTTTTTTTCTTTAGTTTCATGTAAATATCACTGTTATGTTTATTATATGACGTCATCTATACACTCGGGTTCGGCGTTTCTCCCCTTCAATTTTGCTTTGTCACTGTGATGGAGCTCTTTTTGATCACATGACCAAAAGCGATTTTTTTGTGTTAGCCAATCACATTTAATCACGTGATTGATTTGTTGATGTTTTGCCGCGATTGCAGTATCGTCTCTATTGTGTATAAATTCCAACCCTCCGTGGTTTCAGTATCATTCCTTTGCGCTTGATTATTGTTATAAGAAGAAGAAGTAAGAAGAACAAGATGGCCCAGCAGCAGTTTCAAGAGGTTTATCGTATGATTCCCGGCATCAGTATTGAAACAGTCGTGATAGTCAGACGGATCGCCACCGGAGAGGAGCTCTCCCGGTATAATTTTATGCAGGTGACCTCCAATACGGAGCTGAACAGCAGGAGTCGGAGGAGCCACCCCTACACCAGGCTTAGAAGCAGACCGAGGACTTCGGGGCCCCCATCAAGACCGCTACCACCGCCGCCTACCCAGAGAATGGCTAGGAATCAGGGGCACATACCATCCTGGGGCTTCCGTGTCCCCCCACAAACCATCTTCTGCACCCTATGCTTGAGTGACGGGGAACCGAATAACTTTTGTGGTTCTCGTTGTATTCAAAGACCATCCTGTACCTTATGCGCGGCCAGGATTATCGAGGAGAACTTGCCCTGCCCCCTCTGTCGGAACACTAACCGATTGTTAGTTCCGTTGTCCCGGAGAGAGGAATTTGGCCCCCCTGAGGACAGTTCTGATGAGGAATCCATAGGACACCTTGTTCACTAGCTGCTGGACGCATAGGGACCTACCATCCCACCTTGAAATCAAAATTCCAGAAAAAACCAAAAAAAAAATCAACAAAATCAACCAAAAAAACCAAAAAAATCAACAAAAACCAACGAAACTAACAAAAAAAACCCTTTTAAGGGCCACCAAATTTTTCGAAAAGATGCCTTCATATTCAGTCAATAAAAAAAAGAAACGTGTGTGTATCTCAAGTTATAACACCAGGTCACTTTTTAAAAAATTTTATAACTTT